CAAGCTGCTGCTGACCGAGTCTCCCCAGAAGTACTCGGGGGCCACCGTCCTGGAGGCGACGACCCCAGTAAGGAGGAGCAGGAGACTCAGACTCAGCTTTGAGTCGGGCGTGTCCGTCTACAGGGGGAATATCCAGAAATAGTCAAACATAGTATGTGGACTATTTTTGGGGTACACTGGACTTAAACATTTTTTTGGGTAGTTTTGTTTGGAATATGTTTTACATTGTCGTCCCAAATCCGCCTGTAGGGGGACACGCCCGACCTAAACTCAGCTTGCGGCAGCGCTGGTGCCCGTTTGCCTTCGCAAGCTCGCCAAGACGAGGAGGAGGAGCTCAGGTTCGGCGGCGCGCGGAGGAGGGCGAGACAGGGGGCAGGCCTTCTCAGAAGGCGGCGAGGCTTCGGACAGAGCTTAGAATTAAGTCGGGCATGTCCCTCTACAGGAAGAGTATTCCAAAATAGTCAAAACATAGCCTGGGGACGGTGTTTTAAATATTCTTTGAGTGTATTTAAATTTTTTCGCCCAAAATCCGCTTGTGGGGGGACATGCCCGACCTAAGCTTAGAATTCATTTCAGGAAACCGGACCCCTCTTGAGCCTTCTCAGAAGGCCAGCCCCTTCTGGGTTCCCCTTTGGCGCGCCGCCGAAGGAGGATGAGGAGGATCTTAGATTAATTTCAGCACGCTGGCTTCGTGTTGTGTTGTTCTGTTACATGTGTTTTGGGCGCCGTGTCTGGTTAAAGGTCGGCACGTGTCTGGCTCTGGCCGCCGATGACTTCACACTTTCAGGTCTGGGATCGGCCCGTCACCCGCTCGTCAGGTTTCTTTTCAGTGTTTCTCTCTTTTTGTATTGGGGTGCTGGAGTTTCCTATTTTTTCTTTTTTTTTAAAAAAAATTTTATCGTGGTTTTATCGGAGTTGTCCTTCATTCGTTTTGCTAAAAATGATTCGCCTGTTGTTGGTCCAGGCATGTGGCGGGGTCGGCGCCGGCGCCGCTCTGCCCAGGTGTCTGCGCCCCTTTGGGTGCAGCTTGCAGCGGTTCCAGCCGCCGCTGCTCGGACCGTGTTGGCTGTGGAGAGTTGAGCACAAGAAAGGTATGAAGGGCCTGTTTTCCACCACCACCGCCATGAGTTGGAGGCGGGAAGGAGGTGGAGGACCAGGAGGACGAGGCGGAGGAGGAGGAGGAGGAGAGGGAGGAGGAGGAGGTGGAGGAGGAGGAGGAGGAGGAGGAGGAGGAGGAGGCGGAGGACCCCCTCCCCCTCTAGCTTCTGGTGGTGGTGGTGGTGGAAAGCAGGCCTGTCAGGGTAGGATGTGCCAGGGTTTTCGGCTGGTGCCTGGCTGGTGGGCGCCCAGGAGGAGGAGGGAGGAGGAGGATGAGGAGGGAGGAGGAGGAGGAGGAGGAGGAAGAGAAGGGAGGCCAGGCGCTCGTGGCCGGCTCCGAGGGGAATCCCGGCGTGGCGGCGAGACCCGGGACCCCAACCCCAATGCCCGGGGGTCCCCTGTGTGACGGGGGTGGGGACCCACTCGGGTGCCCCGGGCTGAACGGAGGCTGAGGAGGAGGAGGAGGAGGAGGAGGAGGAGGAGGAAGGAGGAGGAGGGAGGAGGAGGAGAGGAGGAGGAGGAGGAGGCGGAGGAGGAGGAGGAAGGAGGCGGAGAAGGAGGGAGGAGGAGGAGGAGGAGGAGGAGGAGGAGGAGGAGGCGGAGGAGGAGGAGGAGGAGGGAGCGCGCCGCGGCGGCGCCCGCCCCGTGGGCGCTGGGCGGCGTCTCGCGGGCGCTCCGTGCGCGGGGCTGGGTGGGCCGAGGCGTCGCACGGTGCCCGCCGGGGGGCGCCTCGTTGGCGCCCCGTGCGCTGGGCTGTCGCACATGTGGCGCCGCACGGCTTTTACCACATGCCCTGCAATCTGTATTTATTTATTCATTTATTTATTCATTCATACATTATAGGTATATATACATATATAAATATATATGTATGTATATACACACACATATATATATATATATATATATATATGTGTACATGTCTATGTGTATATATATATAGCACAGATAGCTTACACCACGCAGCTTACTCCACACATATGGTATATCTGTACGTGCATACGTACACACATATATACATACATCTCTCTATTTCGGTATAAGTGTATGTCTATGTGTATACAAGCGTATATCTACACTTTTATGCACAGCTGTACATACACAATACTGCAATGGCGCGTCGTGCCATGTATCTTGGTTCTTGAAGTTTGGCATGCAGGCGGAAGTCGCGGCGCAAGAGCAGGAAGGTAAAGCATAAACAACATAGCGATACATCCTCTTTGCCCTTTTCCGACACCGTCGTCATAATGATGTCAATCGTTATCATTCCCTCATGCTTCCTCTTCCTTATTCTCGGCCTCCCCTGCGAATTCTTCCGTACCGTATCCTCCTCTGCTCTTTTTGGGGAGGCTCCTCCTTGGAAAGACTCTTAAAGCCTCACGCAAGTTTTACAGCGCGGTTTGGGGCCTTCTGGAGGCCTTCTGGGCCTCTTCTGGGGGCCTCTGGGGGTTTCCTCGGACCACCCTGCTTCCAACTGCGGTCTCCCTGAACGACCTGGTCACGATTTGAAATGCTTCCGGGGGCGTCCTGGGGCCATCTTGGGCCGTCTTACATCTAGGGGTCCTGTTGGACCGTTTTGGGGGTCTCTTGGACTGCCTGGAAGCCTCTTCTGATAGTTCTGGCATGATTTTCGGTCCCTCCCGGAAGAGATAACCAAACAAAACGCATTCCCCAAATCATGCAACAACCATTGGATGTCAATGTTTTCCCGCATTTCGAGTGCGTCTTGGGGGTGTTCTTTGGGCCGTCTGCGGGCGTCTGGCGGGTGTTTGGGGCCTCTTGGGGCCCGCGGGGGGCCGTTCGGCCGCCCTCTTCACCGATTCGGGCCGGCTGCTTGGGAGGGCAGTTTTCCATCCCGTGCCTATGTTTGGATGGCCCCGGTGACGCGATGACGAGCCCTACAGAGGCCAACATCGAGGAAAAACGCCGGGATTCGAAGCACTGTTAGCACCAATGCTGGAAACGTGTCCGTTTTCTTATTGTCGGCGTTTCGGCATCGGGCGGAAGGGGGGGGGAGGGAGGGGGGGTGTCTGGCTCCGGACCTCTGCTTCGTGCAGCTGCTTGGAAGAGTGCGTCCGAGATGGGGGAGACTCCACCAGCCTGAAACGGGCGCCCGACACAGCCAAGACCCACTCCAGGGGGGGGGGGTGCGAGGGCCCGCGCCGATCCGCAAAACAAGGATCGGGGGAGCGTAAGACCCGGGTTTGCCAGGACTCGGGTTCGCCATCGTTTTTTGACGACCGCGCCTCGGATTTTGACGAGGAGGAGTTTCGTGGGATGTCTGCAGCGGGAGGCCTCGTCAAAATGCAGGCTCGGCCTCGTCATTTTTTTGACGACCTCGTCGGGGATTTCCGAGTCCCCCGTACCCGGGTCTTACGTCTCCCCGACATGGGGGGGGGGTGCGAGGGCCCGCGCCGATCCGCAAAACAAGGAACACAAAGACGTCCACAGTCGGGGGAAGCGGCCCTGTGGCGCGCGGGGGTGCAGGGAGCCCGCGGCGGGCCCGACGCCGCGGGCGCGGCCTGTCCACGACGGGCTCTCGCGGGGCGCGCCGCGCCGCGGGCTCGGCCTCTCGCTGTGGGGGGCAGCAGCCGACGAGAGCCTGCGGATGCCAGTCCAGGGTGCCTTCGGATTGCTTGTGGCCGTCTTTTGTATTCATTGTTCTGCCGATCGGCGCGGGCCCTGGTCCCCCCCCCTCCACCCCCCTCCCGCGGAGAGTAGATCTTGGCTGTTTTTTGGCACCTGTTTCGAGCGGTTGGAGTCTCCCCCAGAGGACGCACGGTCCCAGACAGTCGCACTAAGCAGAGGTCCGGAGGCAGACCCCCCCCTCCCCCCATCTTCCGCCCAATGTCGAAACGCCGAATCAAAAAACGCTCGCCCGGTGGTTTCCCGGAGAAGGAACATCTGTAGGCCTCCTGCATGGGGTCGGAGCAGGTGGGGTCGGAGAAGGGCGGCGCATCGCCGATGCGGCTCGATGTGGAGCCCGATTGTCCCCTCATTGTCTCGGGGGTGGACAGAACCCCCAACAGTGACACGTCGATTAGTGAATTGTCCGTTTTCGGTTCTCGAGAGGGCGCCGCGGCCGTTATTTTCCAGGCTTGCGCCCGCCAGGTTTGGGCGTCAGGTCGTTTTCACTAAACCACGTTTTACTAAAGGGAGGTCTGTCCATCCCCGATTTTGGGCCTCCTGGGTGGCCCTCGTCGCCACCGCTGGATTCGCCTCGGAGTTCTAGTCAGAACGCACCCGGGGAGAGGTCCGAGGAGCCGCGGCATCGGTACCTTTGGTTTCCCTGGCTTCGGCGGAGGCAGGCGCGAGGAGGGTGGTTCTGGGCCTCCCAGATGGGGCCATGGTGGATGGGACCAGAGGATCGCCGATGCATCGCCGATGCATCGGCGATGCGGCGCGATCCGGAGCCTGGCTTTCTCCGCGCCGATGTACGTCGCCGATGCATGGCCGACTTCCCCAGGACATCGCCGATTCATCGGCGATGGATCGGCGATCGGGGGCGTCCAGGACTGTTGCTTCCTGAGGGACGGGGCTCAATGATAGGGAGGGATCCCAAGTTGAATTCATATGGTTTAGGGCCCCTCGTCCTTAGGGGCCCATCGGGCAGCCCTGCGCCGGGCCCCCCCTGCGCATTCAGAGCAAAGTTGTCCGCCAGCTCGGCCCGCATCATTTTGCCCAGCGTGAGCTTCGACGCTGCTTTGTACGCGGACAACGCCATTTGCATATCGCAAAGCACAAGTGCCATGAATCAGTTGTTGCAAACTGTCGAGGAAGAAAGTACCAGGTATGGCCCGCGACTTGACAGAACCAACCGCGAAGTGATCCACGCCTGGGCGAACCGGCCCTATATATATATATATATATATATATATATATATATATATATATATATATTGCGAACGGCGACAGCTCGTTCCTTTTGGCCGCCCATTCCTCGGCGCACCCGGGAGGGAGGCCTGGCCCGAAGGAGCCGCCCCGCGCGTCGCGCCTCTTGCGCAGGCGGGAGGCGCGGACCCGGTTGGCCCGCACTCATTGCAGGCCCGGCCGCCTCGGCGCGGGCGGCATCGTTCCGAGGGCGCTCGGGGGAGCAAGACGAAGGGCACCGGTGATCGCTGGTGCCCTTGCCTCGCTGTCGCCCTTCTTGGCCTCACGGGGCGCCCCCTCGCTGGCAGACTCACGGTCGCGGGGGGCGGGGAATCACTATCGCTTGTTTCGGCTTGGTGCGGTGCTGAAGAGATCGCTCTGCAAAATCCGGCCCCGCGAGTTTTTTATTTTTTCGCTTCGGTGCTAATGATAACGCAGTGGGGCTCGTTGTTGCTTCTCAGGGTTGCCGGTGATCGCTGGTGCCCTTGCCTCGCCGTCGCCCTCCTTGGCCCGCCCCCTGGGGCGCCCCCGCGCCGGCAGGTGTGCGCCTACTACAAGGGGGAGAAGCAGGTGTCCGAGGCCGCCGCCAGCAGCCTTACCCTCTCAGCCGCTCGCAGAGGTCTCCCTCTCTCTCTCTTTGTCTCGCTCGCGCGCGCTCCTGTGAGCGCCACGCCTGGGCGCCTCCACCCGCGGTTGGGTTCTCGTCACGGGTCGTCCCCGAGCCCCCCCCCCCGAAGAAGCTGGCCGTGTGGAGGGGGAGAGGGGCTCGGCTAGAGAACACTACAGTCAAGGCACTGAAGTAAGGGGACCGTTTTGTGTTCGGGAGGGGCTCGCTGTTCCTTCGGTGATTATGCGGTTGTTCGTCTAGCCCTCCTCGTGCATCCAGGCTGTTTTTGGTGCCAGAAAGGGGCTTCGTTCCTTTACAACCGTTCCTGCTTGCAGCAGATTGGGTGCAAGCGACAACATTCTCATCACAGTTGGGGGGTCCGCGCAGATGTCTTGGATCGGCGCTGGACCCCCCTCCCTGGCGCGCGGAGAGAGCCAGTGGCGGCGCCGGCGGCGCCGCCATGCGGCCCCGGCGCCGATCCGAGAAATCCGCCCGGACCTCTGAGTATTTATTCTTGTGCCCTTGCTTGTTCTTCTAGTATAGAGAGGGAGGAGGGGCTCGGGAATACGCCCCGCGGGCGGTTGGGGGGGGGGGCTGTTTGGAATTCTGTCGTTTTCCCCAGTCCCACCCCCGCAGGATAGGGAGGAGATCGACGAAGAAGCTTTTGGAGTTCGCGCGGAGTTCAACAGTTTTTTGGTTATGTTTTTTTTGGGGGGGGTCAGGGAGGAGCAGTGTAAGCCCAGGACGCATCAGCGATGTTGCCGCACACCCTCCCTCCAAGTTCCTTCCTCACAGGTCCCTACAACGATTTTTTCCAATGCGGAATGCGGCCTATTGGGCGACAACTGTCTGAGAATCTCCAATCGTGTCGTGCCGAGACACCATCCCTGGGACTTAAATGGCGGCGGGTCAACATGACTGTGGCATCTTGAGGCGCTAAATCGTGCCAGAACACCGTTCCTGGGACTGCAGAGCCGCGACTCACGCCAGAACGCCGTTCCTAGCGCTGCAGCCATACAAATCTTTGAAACTGGAAGAACTTGTTCAGACGAGCCTGCGGAGGGCTAATGCGAGAGCCACAATGTGAAAACGGCAAGCCCTCCATCCTTTAAGCTGTTGCAAGCTTTTGGGACGAATGTGCGCGGCGCCAGGGCGAGGGCTACATTTTGAAAACGACATGTCCTCCATTTCTTGAAGCTGTCGCGATTTCTTTATCTGGATCTTTGCAGCGCAAGCAAAGGCGATAATTGCATGAAAAAACGACCCGCCCTCCATCCGTGAACCTTTTCCAAACTTCAAGCTTCAGGACCATCAATGGTAATGCAGTGTCAAGCGAAACGCCGGGCCCGCTCCACCGACACGTCCGGGGTGCGAGAAGGGGGAGTTATACATGAAGGAGGTGGATGGAGGAGGAGGAGGAGGAGGAGGAGGAGGAGGAGGAGGAGGAGGAGCAGGAAGAGGAGGAGGAGGAGGAGGAGGAGGAGGAGGAGGAGGAGGAGGAGGAGGAGGAGGAGGAGGAGTGCGGAGGAGGGAGGGGAGCAGGATGAGAGTGAGGGACGGAGATGGTGGAGGAAGAGCGAGGAGGTGGAGAATACCGATGAGGAGTAGAACGAAGAGGAGGCAGAAGAAAGAGAGAACTGGCGTACAGATGGTAGGACCATGCAGGAAGAAGGGGGGAATTGAGGGTAGACGAGGATCGGCACGCTTCCTCCTGGAAGTCCTCACTCTCCCCTTCTCTTCCTTCTGCTGCTGCTTATGCTGCTGGGCCTCCTGCGGCCTTCTCCTGCCTCCTGCTGCCACCTGCTTCTCCTCCTCTTCCTCTTCTTCGCCTCCTTTCTCCTGTCGGTCCTCATCCTCCTCCTCGGACCCCCTTTGTCCTGACGCTGCCTGCGCTCCCACTTCTGCTGCCTCCCCTCCTGCTCGCTGTCTGGCTATGGGGCTTGTTCTGTGTCCCGGAGCCCCAGGGCCCCCCAGGCGTGCCCAGGGACGAGTGCGGGAGAGACGCCGCGGTTGAACAGACACCGCATGCCGTCGGAGAGGTCTGATCCTGCAGCCAGTGCGTGGCAAGAGGCCTCGCTTTGGCCTCGAACGTCCAGAGGCCTCGCTCGAGGTTGGTGTCGGTGATGCCGGGAGAGGTTTCGTTCCACCTCGCTCTGAGTCAGGGGCTGCGGCTCGCAGTCCAGAGGGACATGTTGGTCGACGCAGCTGCTCGATGGCCTCACAGGAGGCCTCCGTCGGAGGTCCGGGGATGCCTGGTGCCCGTGGCGCCCCCTCTGCAGCGCGAAGGTGCCGAGAGGGGCTGGCCGGTGCTAGTCTCTCTGCAGAGCCGTGTCGCCCGCAGGGGCGCGAGCCGCGCTGCTCGCTCAGCGGTCTCTGGGCCGGAGAGAGCTGTGCTCTTCTCCGGGAGGGCGGCGCGAGGGCGCCTTTCTTTCTCCTTTTTTTGTTTCTCCTGGTACTTCCTGCTCGGCCTGTACAGCAGGAGTAGGTGGCGGGAGGAGAGTGGTGAGGAGGAGGAAGACGAGGAGGAGGAGGAGGAGGAGGAGGAGGAGGAGGAGGAGGAGCAGAGTACCCCCAAGGTGCATCAACGACGCTGCAATACGTCCGCCCGTCCCAAGTCCCCTCAGAAGCCACCACTGCGGGAAGGGCCCCCTTGAGAAACGAGCACGGCATGGTCATTCAAATCAGGCGAGAGCCCCGTTTTTGACATCAGAACTAGAGGACGGCGACGATGCAGGACCATAAAGTCCAAGGCAATGTTCAGCGAGAGCCCCGCTTTGAAAAAGAGGTGTCCTCCATCCGCGCAAAGATACTCCAAACTTACACCTCTGTTCACCCACCCTGAGGAAGTCTCAAGCGAGAGCTCCGATCGAAAGAGGAGTCGCACTCCGCCCATGCATCGTTCGCACGTTTTGTGTCTGCTCGTAAGTATGAAGGGCACCCAAAAGGAATCCATCTTTGAAAAGGCCTTGCCTCCATCATTGTAAATGTTTGATTATGTCCCAACCATCCTGTGGTGTTTGGTCCTCGTTTTGAAGAGTCAGCGCCCGCGTTCCTTCCTTCTCGCTGCCCCCTCCTTTCTCCTCCCATCCCCGCCTCAGCGCCTCAGCCCTCCACACCACTCGAGCATGTCGCCACACTCCTCACAGGTTTCATGGCCTCATGGGGAGCTCCGTCGAAGGCCCCAGTGGCTGCGTCCGCACGCGCCCACCGCACCCATGTCGGCACACTCCGCACACGTTCCGTGGCCCCATAGGGAGTTCCACCGAAGGCCCCAGTGGCTGCGTTCGCATGCGCCCGCCGCAGAAATTTCGGAACACCCCTCAGACGTTCCGTGGCCCCGCAGGGAGTGCCACCGACGGCCCCAGTGGCGGTGTTCGCAGGCGCCGCCCCGCATGCTTCGGCACACCGCTCACGCGTTTTGTGGCCTCTTAGGGAGCGCCACTGAAGGGTCCAGTGGCGGTGTTTGCACGCATCCGCCCCGCCCATGTCGGAGCACCACTCACACGTTTCGTGACCCCAGAGAAGGCTCCACCGAAAACTTACTGGCCGTGTTCGCATGCGTCTGCCCCGCCCGTCTCAGTACATCCCTCACACGTTTCGCGGTCCAACAGGGAGTTCCACCGAAAGTCACAGTGGCGGTGTTCGCATGCGTCCGCCCCGCCCACTTCGGCACACCCCTCACATGTTTCGTGGCCCCACAGGGAACTCCACCGAAGGCCCCAGTGGCTACGTTCGCACGCGCTCAAAGCCACCATTTCGGCACATCCCTCACACGCTTCGTGGCCGCATAGGGATCTCCACCGAAGGCGATGCTCACACGTGCGTTATTCACAGCTGCATATGGTCGGGTTCTCCTCCTGTCAAATTTGAGACGAATGTCCTTGGCTTTACGGCGAGGGGATTCATGTTTGAAAAGGGACCCATGTGCGCGGTGCCCAGGCGAGGGTCACTTGTTGTAAAGGAGTCGCCCTTCACTCGAGGTACAGCTGATTTGTTTTAGGACGCCGTATGCGCGGCGCTCAAGCGAGAGCCACATTGTGAAACGGAGCCGCCCTCAATTCGCGTAAATCTGAGACACTTGAAGAATGAGGATCGCCGCGCTAAGGCGGTGGACGCAATGTCAAAAGGAATTGTTTCTCATCCGTATAACTTGTTGGACCTTGTCTGACGATTGTGCGCGGCGCTAGGGCAAGAACAACATTTCGAGAAATACCCTCTCCAACCGTGCAAATGTTGGAAGCTTTTGGGACGAATGTCCGCGGGACTGAGACGACAGCCCCAATATGATAACGACTTGTCCTTAACCCGTGCAACGGTTGAGACATTTTATGGCGAATGTGTGATGCGCTAGGGTGAGAGACACATTCTGCCCCTTTCCCGTCCCTCCTCCTTCGGTGTAACTGCTGGATTGTTCAAGGTTCGGGGTCATGCATGGGGAGGACGTACCACTCGAAACGCATGGCGCGCCGTACCGACATGTCTGGCGGCCAGGCGACGAGGATACATTTGTATGTGAAAACGGATGAAGGATGATAAGCGTAGGGGGACGGGGGCGGTGGATGAAGGAACAGGGAGGAGAGGAGAGGAGAGGAGAGGAGAGGAAAGGGAGACACGCGAGGACGAGGCAGGAGGATGGAGAGGGGGGGGGGGAACACGGAGGCGGAGGCAGGATGGAGCTCGGGAGGACGAGGAGGGCCGATGGAGGGAGAGGGGGAGGCAGGGTTGGAGATGAGGGAGGGGGGGTCGTGGGGGGGCCTCGCGAGGAGGGAACGGCCCGGCGCCAGGCGGAGCGGGCGTGCCCGCCGCCCCCCCGCCCGCCCGCCCAAGAGGAGGACCGGGGCACGCTGCTGCGGTTCGTGGAGGCCCCCCTTTTTTCCTTGGAGGGGCTGCTCGGCACTGCTCGGACGTGTGCACTCATCTCGTCTCTCGTCGCGAGGGCCACCGAGGGGCAGCATCTCGGCTCATCATGCGAGAGAGAAGCGCGCGAGACATCGAAAAGTGCCCCTGGCGATGGACGCTCGAGCGGTGGCTGGGCTGTGGAGGGGGGTGGCGGGGGGGCTGGGAGGGAGAGAGGGGGAGGGAAGGGGGTTTGGGGGGGGCCTAGTGGATTTTATGCGTGTTCAAAAAAAAAGAAAACCTATGCGAACCTATCCCTACGACTCCATCTCTCTCTCCCTATCTATCTTTCTCGTTATCTTTCTGTTTCGCTTTCTCTATGTATCTCCCTTGCTCTCTCTCTCTCTCTCTCTCTTAATTTTTCTCTCTCTCTCTCTCTCTTTCTCTTTTTCTTGTTTCTCTTTTGCTGCGTCAAAACTCATCCTCCTTTCCATCGGGAGGAAGGGAAGGGAATCGCCTCCTCCTCCTTCTACTCCTACGCCTATTCTATCCCGAAGGAAATGGAAGGGGAAAGATCCTCATTCGCCTCCTCCCCCTCCTCCTCCTCCTGATAGAAAGGAAAGGAAAGGAGCCGCATCCTCAGCCTCCTTCCTGACAGGAAGGGCAGGGAATGACCCTGCTCCTCCTCCTATTCCTCCTCCTTCTGATGGAAATGGGCAGGAAGGGAACCTCCTCCTCGTCCTCCCTGAGGGAGAGAGAAGGAAAGGAGCTTCATTCCCCTCCGCCTCCTTCTGACGGAAAGGAACGGGACAAAATCTCCTCCTCCCCCCGCTGTCCTGAAGGGTAGGGAAAGGAAGGGACATCCTCTTCTCTTTCCTACGGGACAGCAAAAGGGAGGTCCCTCCTCTTCCTTCTGATGGAAAGGGAAATGGCGGAACATCCTCCTCCTCCTCCTCCGCCTCCTCCTCCTCCCCCTCCCTTAGGGAAGGGAAGGGAAGGGAAGGGAATGGATGTCCTCATCATCCTTCCTGAGGGAAATGAAAGGAGCGTGCCTCCACCTTCCCCTCCTCCCTCTGAGGGAAGGGGAAGCGAATGAACATCCTCCTTCTCCTTCCTCGGGGACAGGGACGGAAAGGGAACCGCCTCCATGTTCTTCCCGAGGGAAAGACGGGGAAGGATTGCCCTCCTTTTTCTCCCCCTCCTCCTCCTGAGGGGTAGGGCAGGGAATGAGTGCCCTCCTCCTCTTCATCCTCCTACTGATGGTCTTCTTCCCTGAGGCAAAGGGAAGGGAAGGAACCTTCTTTCTCACTTTCTCTTCCTCCTCTTCATCCTCCTCCTTTTTGTCGGAAGAGGGGATAGAAGGGAAGGTACCTCTCCCTCCTCCTCTGCCTTGCTGGAAAGGGAATTGAAGGAATATCCTCTTCCTCTATCCTGAGGGAAAGCGAAGGGAGGGAGGCCTCCTCCGCCGTCCTGGGAGAAAGAGAAGGGAATGAGCCTCCTCATCCCCTGCGCCCCCCTCCGTGAGGGAAGGCAAGGGGATGAATTTCCTCCTCGTCCTTCCTGAGGGAGAATGACAGGAGCGTGCCTCCTTCTCCTCCTCCCTCTGAGGGGAAGGGAAGTGAATGAACATCCTCCTCCTCCTTCTTGGGGGACAGGGAAGGGAAGGGAACCACCTCGTCTTTTTTCCGGAGGGAAAGAAAGGGAAGGGTTACCCCCTTGTTCTCCCCCTCCTCCTTCAGAGGGGAAAGGGCAGGGCAGGGCCCTCCTCCTCGTCCTTCCTGAGGGAAAGCGCCCTCCTCCTCTTGCTCTTCCTCCTGGTGGAAAGGGGCAGGAAAAAATGGGCCTCCCCCTCTTCTTCCCCGATGCAAAGGGAAGGGGGGGGGAACCTTCTTTCCCCCTTCCTCGTCCTCCTCTTCATCCTCCTCCTTCTTGTCTGAAGTGGGATGGAAGGGAAGGAACCTCCCCCTCCTCCTCCTCAGCCTTGGTATTTTAAAAGGAATTGAAGGAGCATCCTCCTCCTCCTCTAGCTTGAGTGAAAGCGAATGGAAGGGGGCCTCCTCCTTTGTCCTTAGAGAAAGTGAAGGGAATGAGCCTCCTCCTCCTCTGCATCCTCCTTCCTGAGGGGATGGGAGGAGAAGGGGAGCTCCTGCTCCTCCACCTCCTCCTCCTCCTCCTCCTCCTCCTCCTCCTCTTCCTTTTCTGGAAGAGAGGGAAGGATCTTAAGATGATTGAGGGTCTTCCTTTCTGAGGGCCCCTTGTGTGGGGGGTCACGCATCGATTCCCTTTGCGGGGGTTGCAAGTCGATCCCTTTTGTGTGAGGGGTTGAACATTGATTCCCTTTGTGGCGGAGTTACACATCGATTCCCTTCGTGGGGGGTTACGCATCGATTTATTTTGTGTCAGGGTGTACGAATCGAGCCCCTTTTGTGGCGGAGTTACACATCGATTCTCTTTGTGGGGGCTACAAGCGGGTTCCCTTTGTGTGAGGGGCTACGAATTGATTGCCTTTTGCTGCGGAGCTACACGTAGATTCCTTGTGTGGGGGGTGAAACATCGATTCTCTTCGTATGAAGGGGGTGCAACTTGCTTCCCTCTGTGGCTGGGGAGGGGGAAGGGGGGGGCTGGCCCTGGGGGAAAGGTCCCAGCAAAAAAAACGCCCCCCCCCCCCTGAATCCACAGGGCAAGTTTTTTTTGTTTAAGCATTTTTTGTAATGTTTCTTATTATTATTCTTCTTCTTGTTTCCTTTTTCTTCTGGCGGGCCCGAACAAATGCCCAGTGGATTCAGGGGGCAGATTTTTCCCTTTGCTGGGGTATTTTCCCAAGGGCCAGAGCCCATCCCTCCTCCGCCGCAGAGGGAATCAATGTGGACCCCCTCACACAAAGGGAATCGATGTGTAACCCCCCACGAAGGGAATCTATATGCAATTCCGCCAAAACCGCCACAAAGGGAATCGATCTGTCGGCGCCGCAGAGTGGGAGAGAGAGAGAGAGAGAGCACTCCAAAGCAATGCGAAGTAATGCAATGCAGTGCAACGCGACGCAAAGCAGTACAAGCCAATGCAACGCAGATCTACGGCAACGCAATGCAGCAACGCAGTGCACAGCAACGTGGGACAAAGGGTTTCGCCCCATGCCGCCGGCCCCCTGTCTCGGATAATGGGAGATGCAAACGCTAAATCATGAGGTCTGGGCGCCGCCGTGAAGCAGTGTCGGGACCTGAATGTTTTTCCGACCCTGACCCTACGGATTTGCGTCACGGGTGCCACCGAATTTCAGAAATGTGGCAACACCTTCGTGCTTTTGGACCCTGACCCTACGAATCTGCGTGAGGGGTGCCGGCGAATTTCACAAATGTGGCAAATCCCATTTGTTTTTGGACCCTGACCCTGCCGATCTGCGTGGGGGGTGCTTCCGAATTTTAGACATGTGGCAAACCCCATGTGTTTTTGGACCCTGACCCTGCCGATCTGCGTGAGGGGTGCCAGCAAATTTGCGAAATGTGGCAAATCCTATGTGTTCCTGGACCCTGATCCTGCCAATCTGCGGGAGGGGTGTCACGAAATTTCAGACATGTGGCAAATCCTTATGTTCTTGGACCCTGACCCCGCAGATCTGCGTGAGGGGTGCCGCCGAATTTGACAAATGTGGCAAATCCTTTATGTTCTTGGACCCTGACCCCGCCGATCTGCGTGAGGGGTGCCACCGAATTTCAAAAATGTGGCAAATCCTTTTTGTTTTTGGACCGTGACCCTACGGATCTGCATGAGGGGTGCCGCCGGATTTTAGAAATCTGGGAAATCCTTGTGTTTTTGGACCCTGACCCCGCAGATCTGTGTGAGGGGTGTCAATTTTTATTCACCCCAGCAATTCAGAGCACACGCTCAGGGCGTGGTAAACATGCCCGTTTTGGGCCTCCCCCCCTCGCGCGGTCCATCAACAAGGAACAGTAAGCAGCAAGAAGCAGAACTGTAACAGTGGAAACTGGAAGCTGCAACTGGTACAGGAAACTGCGAACCTTCGCCCTACAGCCTGGTGGCCCCACAAGGGGGCCGGCGGATTTCAAAGCAGTGCACTGCAATGCAATGTGATGACAGAACACAGCACTTCAACGTAATACAGAACAATGCAAAGCAAGGCACAGCAGTGCATAGCAATGCAAAACACTTCAACTCAATGCAGCGCAATGCAACGCAATGCAAAGCAATGCAAAGCAATGCAACACAAAACCAATGCAAGTCAATACAACCCAATGCGAAGTAGTGCGAACCAGTGCAGAGCAACGCACAGCAATGCAAGGCAATGCAACACAATGCAATGCAGGGCCAAACACTCAGGAGCAATGCGAAACCATGCAGAGCAGTGCAACTCCATGCGGTTGAAGTGCGACGCAATGCGATTGCAATGCAATGCGACGCAGCGCGGTTGCGATCGCAGTGCAACGGGGGCGGTGTAGCCAGGCGGCGGCGACGGGCGGGGAAGAGGCCGCCGGGGCCGCAGACGGGCCGATCCTGTGGAGCAGTGGTGCGGCGAAGGGCGGGAAGGGGGCCGCCGGGGCCGCGCACGTGCCCAGTGATGCAGGAGAGAAGCAGGAGAGCCCCCGAGTGCAAGCGTTGTCTGGGGCAGGCATGCGACGGGTGCTCATATCATTTGCGGGAAGCGAATGGTCGCCAGCGTGGGCCCTGAACAGTGCGTTTCTAGCAAGCTAAGTGGTGCAAACTATTTGGAAGAATCTATGTGGTGCGCTCCATATGATGCCAGATCTACGGTGCAGTCTATGTTGTTCAATCTATGTGGTGCGATCTATTTTGTGCAGTCTATGGTGCGCAATCTGTGTTACGCAGTATATGTAGTGCAATCTATGTGGTGCAAGATATGTGGTCCAATGTATGTTGTGCAGTCGATGTGGTGCAATCTATGTGGGGCAATGCACGCGTTGTAACATATCTATGTGGAGTGTTCTATGGTTTGGTTGTGTCGTGGTGGTTTGTGGTGGTGGTTGTGGTGGGTTGTGGTGGTGGTGGTGGCGGTGGTGGTTTGTTGGTGGTGTGGTGGTGGTTTGTGGTGGTGCTGGTGGTGGGTTGTGGTGGTGGCGGTGGTTTGTAGAGGTGGTGCTGGTGGTGGTGGTGGTGGTGGTGGCGGTGGTGGTGGTGGTGGTGTGGTGGTTTGTGGTGGTGGTGGTGGGTTGTGCGTTGTGCTGCTGGTACTTGTGGTGGCTGTGGCGTCTGGCATCAGCTTTCCTTCTCCACCCCCACAAGCACTCGATATAAATATGTACTACTCCCCTTTCTTCCCAAATCATGTTCTGGAAGTGTTCGGCACTCTCTGTGTACGCAGCACCCCGCAATTGCGGATAAGAGTGAGGGGGCGGGCGCGGGCGACGCGGGCGTCGAGCCGGCGGACCTCGTCTCCTTCACCTTCCCTGTCGATGGCGACCTCCTCCTCCTGCTCCTCCTCCTCCTCCTCCTCGTCCGCGTCATCGTCCTCATCGTCGTCGTCGTCGTCGTCGTCCACCTCCTCCTCTTCCTCCTCTTCCTCCTCCTCCTCCTCTTCCTCCCCCATCCTGATCCTCCCCCCGCCTCCTTTCCTTCGTTGTCATCCTCCTCCTCCTCCCCTTCCTCCTCCCTCCTTTCTCGTCGTCCCCTTCCGTCCCCCCCTCCTTTTCCTCCTCGCCCTCGTCGTCGGCCTCCTCTTCGTCCTCGTACTCGTCGTCGTCGTCGTCGTCTGCTTCCTCCTGCTCCTCGCGCTGCTCCTCCTCCCCTCCTCCGCGGAGCGCGCGCGCGCGCGCTGGGGGGGTGGGTCGCGGGCTTGTTCAGTGAACGTAGTTTGGGTCGCGGGTGGGTCGCGGGCTCTCCACCTCCACCCGGAAGGAATTCAAAAGCAGCCCGCCGCAGGCGCCGAACATTTTTATTTGTACACTGAACGCGGTTTGGGTCGCGGGTGGGTCGCAAGTTCTCCACTTGGAACGAATGCAAAAGAAGCCCGCCGCAGGCGCCGAAACTTTTGGGTGGGTCGCGGGTGGGTCGCGGTGGGTCGCGGGTGGGTCGCGGGCGCGGTTTGGGTCGCGGGTGGGTCGCAGGTTCTCCACCTGGAACGAGTGGGTCGCGAGTGGGTCGCGGGCGGGTCGCGGGGTGGGTTGCTGGTGGGTCTCGGGTGGGTCGCGGGTTGGTCGCAGGGTGGGTCGCGGGCAGGTCGCAGGGTGGGTCTGCGGGCAGGTCGCGGGGTGGGTCGCGGGTGGGTCGCGGGTGGGTCGCGGGGCGGGTCGCGGGTGGGACGACGACAACAACAAACAACAAACAACAAACAACAGTAACAACGAAAATCCGCATCGCGGAATTCCACTGCAGCCACGCACCCAGGGACAGTGAATGACCGTTCGGTTCAGCCCCCTCACTCTGATTTTTGGCTTGTGCACAGGACTTCAAACGCTGATGCTCCACATGTTTTTTTCAAGCATGGTGTTTGCGGTATTCAAGCTAGCTCCCCCCTGCAGCGTAGGCCTCAATTTTTTCATCGGCGCTTTGCTCAGGAGAAACAGAAGTACCACTACTACCAGCTAGGCGGGTGGCCGCTCCCTCTGCTCGAGCTGGTGGCACCTCCTTCTGAGCACTCTGGAGGCATGCCCGGAACAAGGTGCCACCAGCTCGAGAGGGTGGAACAGCCCCCCCCCCCCCCAGCTGGTGGTACTGGTACTTTTGTCTCTGGTGATTGGCTCCCGACGTTCAGAAGTTTAGAATGCCGCTCTCGTCCCAGCGCGTGCCAGTTCTCGGTGTCCGGGTCCGCCCTCGTTGTCGCTTCCCCGCCCAGGGTCTTCCTGATCTTCCGTTGCATCTGCTCCTGCTCTTTCTGTAGCTTTTCCTTCTCATCCTCCTCCTTTCTCACCCTCCTGTTCCTCCTGCTCATCCTGCTCATCCGCCCCCCCCCCTTGTCCAATGCGCACGTTCCCTTGTCCTGATTGTGCATGACACGATGGTGTTCTTTTTGGGGATGTTCAAGGTCCGTCGGCGCACGGAGAACAATCAGCACAATGGGAACCGATGGTTGGGAAAGGTGAGATATCATATATGGCGTGAGCACGCACGTAGCTTTTTCTCCTCTCTTCCCCCCTCTTCCTCCTTCCCGCCCCTCCTCCCCCTTATTCCCCTCACTGCTTCCCCCTCACTGCTCCCCCTTGCTGCTCCTCCTCCTCCTCCTGCTACCCCTCATCCCCAAACGACCACGACGAAGACGACGACGCCGACGCCGACGCCGACGCTGACGAGGACGACGTCGACGCCGACGCCGACACCGACGAGGACGACGCCGACGACGACGACGACGTCGACGTCGACGCCGGCGCCGTCACCGACGAGGACGACGCCGACGCCGACGACGACGACGACGACGACGGCGACCCCTCCAGCGGCGCGCTCTCGCCAGAGCCTCGGGGCGGACCCAGCCACGGAGGGCGCCCGCGGAGGCACCAGAGAGCCAGGCAGGTTGAGACAATCTGAAGTCGGGCCTGCCCCTCTACAGGGGGAATATTCAAACACAGTTTTCAAGCATAGTCTGGGGACGAATTTTTTTTAGTATTGCTTGACTCTTTTTGGATACTGCTTGACTATTCTAGGTTCTTCCTTCCAAATCTGCCTGCAGGGGGACGTGCCCAGCCTGACTCAAGTTTCGATCCTCGACCGACGACGGCGACGGCGACGGCGACCTCCAAGCGGAGGTCCACGGCTCGGGCAAGCTCGACGTCCTGCCAGGCATGCGGCCCGTTGACGCGACGTTCGACGCCACCGGGGCGCCCCCTCCCGCCCGCCGCACGGATCGCTGCTCCTGGCGATCGCAGTGCGTCGTCGTCGTCCTCGTCCTTGTCCTCGTCTTGGTCTTAGTCGTCGTCCTCCTCCTTATCTCCTGTCTCGCTCCCCCTCCTCTCTCCTTCGCCCCTCGTCGTTGTCATCCTTGTCTTCGCCCCCGTCCTCGTCTCAGTCGTCGTCGTGCACCTCCCCACCCGCATCCCCCCTCCTTGCGAGCGGTCCGGTCTCTGGATCTCCCCAGCACGGGATACCCAGAGAGTTGGCAGCCCAGGGCGTCAGCCCAGAGCGTCAGGCTTGAAATGGTGAGAGGCCGCAGGAGAGGGGGTGCGCGTGCTCAGGCCTTCTTGGCTCGGCCACGCGCCGAGGCCCTCCTCCCTCCTCCTCCATCCTCCTCCTCCTCCATCCTCCTCCTCCTCCTCCTCCTCCTCCTCCTCCTCCTCCTCCTCCTCCATCCTCCTCCTCCATCCTCCTCCATCCTCCTCCATCCTCCTCCTGCTCTTGCTTCCGACGGGAGGGGACCCCCCTGCGGGGTGCCACGGCCAGGTTGGCCGCCGCCCGCTTGGCCGCCCCGGCGCTCGTCGCCGCTCTGCGCGCCGGGGCGCGGCGACCGGCGACCGGCATCGGGCTGCCAACAGCGAGCGGCTTGAAGAAGAAGGTCGTTCTTTAGGCTAGCATGCGTTATTTAGAGTCTGCTTTTTTTAGGGTCCGGCGATAACCCGGGTTATCTGGCTTGCCCCCCCTCCCCCGCCCCCCGCCCAGGATAACCTAACCTTGCCGGTTGTGCAGGTCCGGGGAGGGGGGGGGCGCGGGCATATGCAGGGCTGTCCACAGCCCGAAGGTTAGGTTATCGGCCAGTCCCCTCTGCCCCTCCCCCCCGGATAACACGGGTTATCGCCGATTCAAAAACAAACGGTTTCTTATCGCTCCTTATGCGTTGTTTACTATGTATCGTTCCTTCTGCGTTATTCCTTGGAAGAAAAGAGGCTTCCTCCCTTGTTTATCGCTCCCTGGGTCAGGCCGGTGACTGTACGCCAGTGGGCTGGGGCGCGGGGGACGGCCCTGTCGCTGGCACCCGCCCTGCACCCGGCGCCGCCCCGGCACCCGACGCCCCGCCGCCGCCCGCCGCCTCCTCGGGGGCCGCCGCGCGAGAACTCCGCTCGCGGCGACCGCGGAGGTGCAGGGCTCGGCTCTGCTCGAGTGGGAGGGCGCCGAGCGCGAGCTGCCCCCCGCGCGGCGCCCTCCTTGGCCCCCCTCCCTCGGGGGCGAGCACCGCGCGGCGCGGGCCGCCGCGCGGCGCCGAGTGGCGTCCTCTCGGGCCTCCCGTGCGGAGGAGGAGGAGGAGGAGGAGGAGGAGGAGGAGGAGGAGGAGGAGGAGGAGGAGGAGGAGGAGGAGGAGGAGGGGGAGGAGGAGGAACAGGGTCGCCGCGCGGCGCCCCCTGGCGCCTCCTGTCGGTGAGGGGGGAGCGCCGCCCCGGCCCCCACAGGTGGCGCTCGCTGAGCAGCCCTGGGCTTTTACTGAGCAGCCCTGCCCTGTTCGATCCCTTCCTCGCGTGCGTCTGCGGGAGGCCTCCTCGCGCGTCGAGGTGCTCATCATGAGGGTCGTTCTCGCGGCCTCTATTCAGGGTGGACGCCGTGGGAGAGGGGCGCCGTGCGGCGCCCTTTGTTGCCGCGTAAGACGCAGTGCGCAGGGGGCGAGCCCGTAGTGGGCCCCAGAAGCGGCAGGGCAACGTTTTCTTTGCTTTTCGTCTTGTCCGTTCCTCGGAAAGGGCGCGGGCCCAGGGTTCTCTGTTAGATGGTTTACGCCCGGTTTTGACTTGAAGGAGGCTGGCGTCCGCTTCGATGAATTATCCCAGTGCGACCTACCTAGGAGTTGGAGCCTCTAGGAAAGCAACATTAGTAGGAGCGGTAAACGCCGTCCTCCTCCTTCTCCTACTTCTCCTCATGTGAGTATATATATATATATATGAATCTATAGCAGCAGCAAGCGTGGATGCTGTGCTGCGCTATGCTATGCTATGCTCTGCTATGCTATGCTATGCTATGCCATGCCATGCTATGCTATGCTATGCTATGCTATGCTATGCTGCGCACTGCTATGCTGGGCTAGGCTAGGCTATGCTAGGCTATGCTGCGCTATGCTATGCTGCGCTATGCTATGCTATGCTATGCTATGATGTGAGATGCTGCGCTATGTTATGTTGCGCTATGTTAGGCTATTTTATGCTATGATATGATATGCTATGCTATGCTATGCTATATTATGCTATGTTATGCTATCCTAGCTGCGCTAAGCTAGGCTAAGCTGAGCTTAAGCTAAGCTAAGCTAAGCTAAGCTAGGCCAGGCTAGGCTAGGCTAGGCTAGGCTAAGCTAAACTAAGCTAAGCTAGGCTAGGCTAGGCTAAGCTAAGCTAAGCTAAGTTAAGCTAGATTAGGCTAAGATGATATAAGCAACGCTAAGCTAAGGGACCGTCACTGGGGGAACCGCGAGGCGGATCCTGGGGGAACCGCCCGGGCGGGTTCAATTGCCCGGCCCTTTAAGCCCACACAGTAAGAACCCTTCTAGCTAGGCAGAGCCTAGGTAGGGAAAAACGAAGTAAAGTCAAATTCGGCGTGAAACAAATGCGTTTCGCGCGTGCCCGCTCGAGGAAAGTCGACCCCCCACCTCGGATCCTTGATAGTGAACACCCGTTATCCATAGTGAAAAAAGGGTGCGGGGCATTTTCAGCAGAATCTTCAAAAAAGTGAGGTCTGGAGCTCGAACCTTGACACAACAAATGTGAAACTGCTGACTCTTTGCGTGCCCGCTCGAGGATGGCGCGTCCTGCGCGCAGACATTTTGGGGATGTCTCGAGCGAAACGCTCGTTTTACAACATTTGACGGGCCTGGGCGCTCAAGGATGCTTGGATCGCAAACCTAGAGCAATTTACGAGGGATCGCGGCTTTGGGAGCGCGGACGCCACGTAATTTACGAGGGCTCGGGGCCTTGGGAGCGCGGAGCCAGCGTAATTAATGAGGGATCGTGGCCCTGGGAGTGCAGGGGCTGCGTAATTTACGCGCAGATTCAGGATCATTTGCGAGGGATCGCGGCTTTGGGAGCGCAAATCCACCGTAAATTCCGAAGGATTGCGGCCTTGGGAGCGCGGGTGCCGCGTATTGGCACGTTCGTGGCGCGTCGCCTTGGCACGTCACGCGGTGCGTCCCCGTGGCACGTCCCCTGGCACGCCGTTTGGCGCGTCCCTTGGGACATTCCGCGACGCGTCCTCCTGGCATGTTCCCCTGTCAAGTAGCTCTGGGGCAGCTACTATGTGCTCAGGCAGCTCGAGCTTAGGTTCCAGATCAGTTCGGTCAGGACTCGGATGCAAAGGATGACTCGATCCACAACACTATTAGATCGCAATCGAGCATCGCACATCGCAGTTCAGCACGACGCAGCACAGCATAGCGCTCGGCACGGTACATCAAGATCGATACACTCAGCATTGCAACCTGGCACGTTCCCTGGCACGTTCCGTGGCGCGTCCCGTGGCGAGTCCCCCTGGCACGTCGCGCGGCGTGTCCCCTGGCACGTCCCGTGGCATGTCCATTGGCACGTTCCGTGGCGCGTCGCCTTGGCACGTCACGCGGTGCGTCCCCGTGGCACGTCCCCTGGCACGTCGTTTGGCGCGTCCCTTGGGACATTCCGCGGCGCATCCTCCTGGCATGTTCCCCTGTCAAGTAGCTCTGGGGGAGCTACTATGTGCTCAGGCAGCTCGAGCTTAAGATCCAGATCAGTTCGGTCAGGACTCGGATGCAAAGGATGACTCGATCCACAATGCTATAGAGCACAATCGCGGCATGGCACCTCGCAATTCTGCACGGCGCTGCACAGTATAGCCGTCGGCACGGTACATCGAGATCGATGTACTCAGCATTGCGTTTGCCCGTCGCCCAATCAGGTGTCTTTGAAACGCTGCCATGCTTTACATTTATATATTATTTTACGGGTTCGAGGGTCGATCATGTTTTTTGGAACATGAGGGCGATGTAGCAAATTACTTTCGGAAGCGAGAAAACAACGTTTCTGGGATTGGAATTTGAACCGCAACCCGAGCGAACATGGCGACGAAATCATGAGAAAAGAGGTGCCGGAATTGGCAGACAGATGGCAAAACGGGAGCAGTAACATAATCGCCCTTTCGCTTTCAGGGCCCATTGAGGGCGCGCCGGGGCAATCGGGGCGGCGTCGTCCTGGCAGCCTGGTGTGCCCTGTAAACCCCAGCATGGTCTCCGCAACGCTCTTGGGGAATTATTTACCCGCCGTCCCCCCGCGTGGATTTCCCTTGTGCGCCGCAAAAAATAACGAAACCGACTGCGCCAATATTCTATTCTGGCGGACGCTGCCCGCGTACGGCCTCGCGTGAGCGCCCTTATCTCCACTGCAGCGCGCTGGACTGGCGGCCCGCGTAAGCCGCCGCGTAAGGCAACGATGGCGTCCTGCGTAAAGCCTTTCTTCTTTTCGTCGCCAATTTGGTTTTGAACAGAGTTGGGGTCGGGATCTCCAGAGCGCCCCGCACGTCTTGCAACACCCAGGGCGTGGAGTGAAACCCTGGGCAGCCAGGCGCCCTCGCGACGCTCCACTCCGCTCGACCCCCTCTGCGCCCCTGGCCGTCCATCCCCCCATCCCTCCCTTCCCCCGCCAGTTCCGTTTGTAGCTCCCTCCCCTGCATGCCCTCCCGTTTCCCTGGGTTGTTCGCCTGCCCCTTCACCCCAGGCCACGTCGCTTGCCCTTCGGGGGACAACAATGGCATCGATGTGAGAACCCGTGTTGGATCGGCACTGGGCATCAGGGGCGGCGACGGAGGCGCCGCCAAGGGGCCCCAGCGCCGATTCGAGAACTACGCGCAGATCTCCGAGTCGAAATGTATTTGTCCTTGTTTGTTCCCCTCCCCCCAGTTCGGATGCAACTCCTGGGGGGTCAAATTCTGTTTTTGCCCTGGTCCGAAATCCGACTTAACCCGGCTTAATTCCGCTTAATCCCGCTTAATCCGGCTTATTCCCGTTTAATCCTGTTTAATCCGGCTGAATCCGAGGCCCACTCCAGCATAACAGTCCCCCAATGGGGCTTAATCCTCCTTAATCTTTCCGACGCAAACCTCCCAGCACTTGCCTCCTGACCCCGGGCCCTGTCACCTGCCCTTGCTGCGCGCGCCTCTTAGCTCCGACCCCGCCCCGACCCCTCCGCGACTCCGCGAGAGCCCCCGCCGCGTCGGCCCCGCGCCGCAGGTGGCCGCGTACTGCGACCACTGGGTCAGCAACGTGGCCGCCGGGCGCTGCAGAAGGGGCCCTGCCGAGTGGGGCCGGGGAAAAGGAGGAGGGGGAGGAGGAGGAGGAGGAGGAGGAGGAGGAGGAGGAGGAGGAGGAAGGAGGAGGAGGAGGAGGAGGAGGAGGAGGAGGAGGAGGAGGAGGAGGAGGAGGAGGAGGAGGAGGAGGAGGAGGAGGAGGGGGAGGGGGAGGGGAGGGGAGGAGGAGGAGGAGGAGGAGAAGAGGGAGGGGGAGGGGAGGAGAAGGAGAGGAGGAGGAGGAGGAGGAGGAGGAGGAGGAGGAGGAGGAGGAGGAGGAGGAGGAGGAGGAGGGAGGAGGAGGAGGAGGAGGAGGAGGAGGAGGAGGAGGAGGGGGGGGGAGGGGAGGAGGAGGAGGAGGAGGAGAGGAGGAGGAGGAGGAGGAGGAGGGGAGGAGGAGAAAAGAAGGAGGAGGAGGAGGAGGCGGAGGAGGAGGAGGAGGAGGAGGAGGAGGAGGAGGAGGAGAAGGAGGATGGGGAGGAGGAGGAGGCGGAGGAGAAGGAGGATTGGGGAGAGGGGTGGGTGGGCAGGAAGAGGGGGAGGAGACAGTCCAGGTAATTCAATAAAGAAGCGGGTGATGCTGGTGATGATGATGATGATGATGATGATGATGATGATGATGATGATGATGATGATGATGATGATGATGATGATGATGATGATGATGATGATGTTGCTGCTGCTGATGATGATGATGATCATGATGATGATGATGATGATGATGATGATGATGATGATGATGCTCATGCTGATGCTGATGCTGATGCTGCTGATGATGCTGCTGCCAATGATGATGATGATGCTGTTGTCGAGTATGATGATGATGATGCTACCGATGATGATGCTGATGATGAGGGTTATGGTGATGGTGATGAGGATTCTGACGAGGATGATGATTGTGATGCTGATGATGGCGATGCTGATGCTGATGATGTTGATGATGCTGGTGCTACTGATGATGCTGGAGATGCTGGTGTTGCTGCGGATGCTGATGCTGGTGATGCTGATACAGATGCTGATGTTGATGATGATGCTTGTGGTGATGATGGTTGTGGTTGTGGTGAAGAGGATGCGGCTGCTGCTGATGATCAGGATTCTGTTTTGTTGCTGATGCTGATGATGAATATGATGAGAATGCAGCTGCTGACGATGATGATGCTGATGATGCTGATGATGCTGATGATGCTGATAATGGCGATGATGTTGATGATGATGATGTTGATGATGATGACTATGACGACGATGATGATGATGATGATGATGGTGATGACGATTCTGATGATGATGATGGTGACGATGATACGGATGATGATGATGATGGTGATGATGATGATGATGATGATGATGATGATGATGACGATGCTGATGACGATGATGATTATGGTGGTGGTGATGATGATGATGATTATGATGATGATGATGATGATGCTGATGATGATGATTATGATGATGACGATGATGATGATGATGATGATGATGATGATGATGATGATGATGATGATGATGATAATGACTGTGACGACGATGATGGTGCTGTTTGTTATGGTAATAATGATGGCCAGGATGGTGATGGTGATGGTGATGATGGTGATGATGGTGATGATGGTGATGATGCTGATGATGCTGATGAGGGCGATGATGATGGCGATGATGATGGTGATGGTGCCGACGACGACGACGGCGACGGGGATGATGCAACAGAAGGGCATGATCATGAGAGTGATGGCGAGGATGAATACGTTAATACTGACGGATCTGTTTATACTTGTGTTGGTGACGATGAGCGGGAGAGAAGGAGAGATGAGGAGAAGGAGGAGGAGCGGGAGGAGGAGGAGCAGGAGGAGGAAGAGGAAACGGACAATGAGGGCGCGAGGATTCATGGCAAGGAATGGAGCACGTAGAAGAACCAGCAGGGATGAGGATGATCGTAAGTAGGCCACACGGAGGAGGTTCCGACGATGAGGGGGGGGCGAGGAGTAGAGGGAGAGGGAGCAGGAAGCGGAGGAGGAGCAGCAGGAGGAGGAGGAGGAGGAGGAGATGACGAGTAATAAGAGGAGCAAGGATGACATCGTGGAAGTACCAGCACGAGATGCACATGCACTGCGCTTCCCGCACGCAGCACACCTGGCGTGAACGGGGCTGCGGTGCGAGACACCGTGGTGACTCCGCTGCCCGTCCGGGCTCTGTGCGGGCGTTCCCCGGGGCAGGGCGTGCCCCTCCCAGAGCCTGGCTGGGGCGCTCCAGGGAGGGCCCCGCCTCCGGCGCAGTCCGCCGACGGCAAGCCGCCGGCGGGAGGCCGGCGGGAGGGCGGCGGGAGGTGGGCGGCCAGGGGCGGCAGCAAGCGCGAGTCGTCGGCGCTGTTGGGTGCAGAGGTTCCCTGTGATGGGCCTGTTTCCCACCACCACCACCATAAGTTGGAGGGGGAGGGTGCCCTCCTCTTCCTCCTCCTCCTCCTCTTCTTCGTCCTCCTCCTCCTCGTCCTCCTCCTCCGCCTTCCCAACTCCAACTTATGGTGGTGGTGGTGGAAAACACGCCCATCATCCCTGAGTCGGCCCGGCGGCTGCCACCGCGGCGTGGTGCGCGCGCTGCGGCGCGCGCGCGCGCACGACCCCTCTCGAGCGGCGTGGGCCCTCGAGCCGCGTGGCGGGGCGCGCAGGCTCGCGCGCGCGCGCGGGCGCGGAGGTAGGCGCAGGGCGCGCCCAGCGGCCTGGGCCAGGGAGGAGGCAAGCAGCACAGTGGGCAGCCCGGGGCGCGGGGCCAGGGTCAAGTCGGGCAGGTCCTGCTATCCAGCAGTGGCGAAGCGTCCTGGCTCGCCTACAGGCCAGGCCCACCAAGCCATGTGCTAAGAACCTTTCTTGTGGATTCCACGAACAGTTCTTGGAGCATGTCTTGCTGGGGCGATTTTGTTTTAGCACATCGGGATTTTGTTCTGAGAGCTTTGTCTTTGTTCTTAGAGTATGTTTTGGGTTCTAAGAACATTTCGCTGTAGGCCTATAGGAATGCCGGGACGGTCGGTCCCTGCTCAATTCTACAGGAGGGATATTCAAAAATAGTCAAGTGTCCCAGCGAAGGACCCAGCCATGTGCAGTCGTGAGTAACGCAGTTGTGAGTATCGTCCTCGGTGAACCTCTCTCTGGGGCCACCACGCGTGTGACGGGTGTACCAAAATTGGTCTGTGTACGCCATGCGGACGCTGCCACCGGAGCCGGCGGTGCAGCCCCATGTGAGGCCACGAAACGTGTGAGGGGTGCGCCGAAATGCAGGGTGGAACCGCGTGGGGGCGCTGCCGCTAGGGCCTTTGGCGGAGCTCCCTATGGGGTCACGAAACGTGTGAGGGGTGCGCCGAAATGAGGGTGGAACTGCATGCGGGCGCCAACGTCGGAGCCTTCGGTGGAGCTCCCTATGGGGCCACGAAACGTGTGATGGGTGCGCCAGATTGGGGGTGGAACTGCATGCGGACCCTGCCACTGGGGCCTTCGGTGGAGCACCTTATGAGGTCACGAAACGAGTGAGGGGGGCGCAGAAATTGGGGTGGAAATGCATGCGGACCCTGCCACTGGGGCCTTCGGTGAAGCACCCTATTGGTCCACGAAACGTGTGAGGGGTGTGCCGAAATGGGGGTGGAACTGCATGCGGAGCCTGCCACTGGAGCCTTCGGCGGAGCACCCTATGGGCCACGAAACGTGTGAGGGGTGTGCCGAAATGGGGGTGGAACTGCATGCGGAGCCTGCCACTGGAGCCTTCGGCGGAGCACCCTATGGGCCACGAAACGTGTGAAGGGTGTGCCGAAGTGGATGTGGAACTGCATGCGGACCCCTCCACTGGGGCCTTCGGTGGAGCTCCCTATGGGACAAAGAACGTGCGAAGGGTGCGCCGAAACAGAGGTGGAAGTGCATGCGGACTCTGCCACTGGGGCCTTCGGTGGACCAGACTATGGCCACGCAACGTGCGAGGGGTGTGCCGAAATGTAGGCAGCGGGAGGAGGAGCAGGGAGGGAGGAGGAGGGGCAGCGGGAGTGAGGACGGGGGGCGCTGTCTTTTCAAAACGAGGACCCAACACCACAGGATGGTTGGGATAACTAGTCAGTGGACGATTGTTGTTGTTGTTGTTGTTGTTGTTGTTGTTGTTGTTGTTGTTGTTGTTGTTGTTGTTGTTGTTCATGTTGTTGTTGTTGTTGTTGTTGTTGTTGTTGTTGTTGAATATTATTACTTCTAAAGAAATATTATTGTTGAGACCCCTGGTGCGCGACCCCCCTCCAAAACCTAGGCCGCAGCCTCATTTCCTTCATTTTCTAGCGAAAGCTTCAGAAAAGTGGATTGTCACCGGATCCGGTTGTTTTGTTGTAATCCGTTTTCCCTTGCAAAAAACACTATAAAATGAAAATTCTTGTTCTTACTTGATCAAATTGCAAGAATCCCTTGCAAAAAATAAGGTAAAGTGGACATTCGTGCGCGCAAGACGAAATCCTTCCAAAACCTTAGGTTTCGTAGCGATTTTAACATAAAAACATCAAAAACCCAATGGTTTTTTAAAAAAAAATGTCAAAATGTCTTCCGCGCGCTCTTGCGGATTCGTAGGAAAACCAACACTTTTTAAACAATTCTGTCAAACGGGCTTTTGCGAGCAACTTTTTCGAACTTCTGCGACAACGGTTGCGCACCTGCCAGGGCCATCATCCCTGTCAAATAATACCATGCGGGACACATTCGTTTTTTCTTCGCGCGCGCACGCCGAAATCTCCAAAAACCATTGGGCTTCTTAAGAATTTTAGCACCGCGCATCATAAAATCACACGAATCGCACCGTAGGTCCTCGAAAAACACCTGCACGACTTTTCAAAATTTCCACCCGCGCGCGCTGTCCGAATCCTAAAAAAACCAATGGTTTTCCAACATTTATGTTACATGAGCTCGCGCGAGCTACTTTCGCACGCTCTTGCAACGGGGTTCGCGCGCCTGCCAGGGGCCAGAACTCCGCTCTCTCTGTCTCTCTCTCTGTCTGCTCTCTGTCTCTCTCTCTGTCTGTCTGTGTCATGTATTGTATGTCACAATTGCAGGATGCTGGGCACACGCGCGCCCCGAATAAGTGACCAAGTTCTGTGGGTGTGTACCCCACGCCAGTGTAGTAGCCACGGTCGTCCGCACGCCACGAAGTGAAGTGTCCCAACGTCATAGGGCGGGAAGCTGGGTTTGGGTGGTCGCGAAGAGTCGTTTGGATATTTGGTAGAGCTTGAACTGCCCCCCCACGAAGTGGGGGTATTGTCTCGCGTCGCATGAAAACCCTGGCACTGGTGAGAACACTGAGCGTTCGGGTAAAATGGTTGTTGTTGTTGTTGTTGTTGTTGTTGTTGTTGAACTCTCATTCTTGAAGAATAATTATTGTTGACCCCCCCCACCGGTGCACATTGATTTTTTCGATTGAAGTGCCACCCCCGGGGCTCGCACCTTGTTTTTTCTCAAGAAAAGTCTTCCTGCTCAAACTGTGCCCCTGCCCCCCGGGCTGCAACAACGGCTCCCGCCTGAGACTTCCTCGATTTTTACTCAGGACCCCCGCTCCCGCCTGAGACTTCCGCGCAATTTACTCAGGAAAGGCGCTCCCGTCTGAGACTTCCTCGCAATGTAATCAAGACCCCCGCTCCCGCCTGAGACTTCCGTGCAATTTACGTGGGAACGGCGCTCCCGCCTGAGACTTCTTCGAATTTTACTCAGGACCCCCGCTCCTGCCTGACATTTCCGCGCAATTGACTCAGGAACGGCGCTCCCGCCTGAGACTTCCTCGCAATTTAGTGAGGACCCCCGCTCCCGCCTGAGACTTCCGTGCAATTTGCTCAGGAACGGCGCTCCCGCTTGAGACTTCCTCGCAACTTAGTCAGGGCCCCCGCTTCCGCCTGAGATTTCCTCACAATGTACTCAGGACTGCGCTCTCGCGTGCGACGTCCTCACAAATTATTCTGGAATTGCGTTTCGGCGCTCAGGAACCACGCACGCGCCAAGGACGCCTTCACAACGTGGTATCTTCCCTCTTCCTTCGTCCTTCCCCCTCCCCTTCCTCCCACTCTCCCTCGTTCTTCCCCTCCTCTTGCAGGGCCCGCGCCAATTCCAATGGCGGGCAGAGAGATGTACGCCCCCGAAGGATTGTCCGCCCGTTCCGGTTTGCCCGTACGTCTAAGCCCGCCGGCCCCAGCAAAGAGAAATAATCCCCCCGAAAGGGGTGTGATCGAAGGCGAAGAGGGCGGGTATCGAGGGTGTAGGGTATACGTGTTGAATGACTCGCGGGCAAGTAAGAGCGTACAGCCTTAAAATGGTTGTTGTTGTTGTTGATGTTGTTGTTGTTGATGATGTGGTTGTTGTTATTGTTGTTGTTGTTGCTGTTGTTGTTGTTATTGTTGTTGTTGGTGTTGTTATTGTTGTTGTTGCTGCTGCTGCTGCTGTTGTTGTGGTTGTTGTTGTTGTTGTTGTTGTTGTTGGTGGTGTTGTTGTTGCTGTTGGTGTTGTTGTTGTTGTTGTTGCTCTTGTTGTTGTTGTTGTTGTTGTTGTTGTTGTTGTGATTCTTGTTGTTGTTGTTGTTGTTGTTGTTGTTGTTGTTGTTGTTGTTGTTGAACATTATTTATTCTAAAGAATAATTGTTGTTGGGCCCCCTGGTGCGCGCCCCCCCTGCGCCGCCAAGGCCGCAGCTACATTTTCATCATTTTCGTGAGGAAGCCTCAGAAAAGAGGGTGTGTACAGGATCCGGTTGTTTTGTTGTAATCCGCTTTCCCTTGCAAAAAACAATAGAAAATGACATTTCTTGTTCTAATATAATCAAATTTCAAGAATCCCTTGCAAAAAATAAGGTAAAGTGGACATTCGCGCGCGCAAGACGAAATCCTTCCAAAACCTTAGTGTTCGCAGCGATTTTAACATAAAAACATCAAAAAACCAATGGTTTTTCAACAAAAAATGTCAAAATCTCATCCCGCGCGCTCTTGCGGATTCGTAGGAAACCCAACACTTTTTAAACATTTCTGTCAAACGGGCTTTTGCGAGCAACTTTTTCGAACTTCTGCGACAACGGTTGCGCACCTGCCAGGGCCATCATCCCTGTCAAATAATACCATGCGGGACACATTCGTTTTTTCTTCGCGCGCGCACGCCGTCGTCGTCGGCCGCGGGGCCCTGAATAGTAGCCACGGTCGTCCGCATGCCACGAAGTGAAGTGTCCGAACGTCATAGGGCGGGAAGCTGGGTGTGGGTGGTGGCGAAGAGTCGTTTGGAAATTTGGTAGAGCTTGAACCGGCCCCCCCACAAAGTGGGGGTATTGCCCGCCTCCTATGAAAACCCTGGCACTGGTGAGAACGGTGTGTCCCCACGTGCTAGTAATTGTTGTTGTTGTTGTTGTTGTTGTTGTTGTTGTTGTTGTTGCTGCTGCTGCTGTTGTTGTTGTTGTTGCAATGTTTGAATACGTGTTGATTCGGTTTTCGTTCATCGTCCCAAATCCGCCTGTAGGAGGACATGTACGACCTAAGGCGATGCGCTGCTAACACAGTAGAGCGGCGGCGAGCGAGGGGGGGAAGTGAGAAGGAGAAGGCCTTCTCAGAAGGCGGCGGGGCTTCTCAGAAGCCCTCGCGGGAACTTCTCGGAAGGGCGGGGGGATTCCGAGCCTTCTGAGAAGGCCCGCCCCCCCCCTCTCACTTCCCCCCCTCGCTCGCCGCCTGGCAGAGGGGGAAAGACGTCGCCGGCTGGGGCACAAACGCCGGCCCCTCTGCTGCGAGCGACTCCAGAGCGCCTCGAGCGGCGGGCACGGGTGGCCTCTTGAGGCAGCCCGGCCAGGCCCCGGCTCGGCCCGGGGGGGGCAACGAGCGCTGGGGGACTGCCGCGGGGGCCGAGCCCCGCCGTTGAGGTCTCGAGGGCCCCTGCTGATTGGCTTGTTTTCCACCACCACCACCATACGTTGGAGGGGGAGAGGTCCTCCTCCTCCTCCTCCTCCTCCTCCTCCTTCTCCTTCCTCCTCCTCTCCTCCCTCCTCCTCCTCTCCTCCTCCTCTCCTCCTCCTCCTCTCCCCCTCCAACTTATGGTGGTGGTGGTGGAAAACACGCCCATTACCTGCCCTCAGCCGGGCCCCGCGGCAGCCGAGGAGTGGCATGCCGCCAGGCACCCCGCGGCGGAACGCGTCAGGAGGGGGCAACAAAACACAGACAGACACAGTCCATCGTCGATTCCCCAGAACATGCAGGAAGAGATGGGAACACATGGGGAGAAGGCAAAAGAGCCCAGAACATGGGGGAACACATGGGGACTCCTGTGGTTTGTGTCTGTTCATGTGTGTGTGCGTGTGTGTGTGTGTGTGTGTGTGTGTGTGTGTCCCAGGGTTCCTTCAACATGAGAGAGGCCACCGCCCTCTCTCAACCAGGCGGTGCCGCTCAACTCGCCGCGGCGGGGCGCCACGTGCCAGCAGCTCCGCTCGGGATCCTCGGGTCGGGGTTTTGGGGTCGGAGGCGGCAGCAGCCGCATGGGCAGGAGACGAGGGCGAGGAGGAGGAGGAGGAGGAGGAGGAGGAGGAGGAGGAGGAGGAGGAGAGGAGGAGGAGAGGAGGAGGAGGAGGAAGAGGAGGAGGATGAGGAGGAGGAGGGAGGGGAGTCGGGACAATCGTTGGCAAGAGGACGGACTAGGGCGGCACGTCTGTCCTTCCTAGTCCGTGAAGGGGGGGGGGAGGGTGTGGAGGATGAAGAGGAGGGAGGGGAGTCGGTACAATCGTTGGCAAGAGGACGGACTAGGGCGGCACGTCTGTCCTTCCTAGTCCGTGAAGGGGGGGGGGAGGGTGAAGGAGGAGGAGGAGGAGGAGGAGGAGGAGGAGGAGGAGGAGGAGGAGGAGGAGGAGGAGGAGGAGGAGGAGGGTGGAGGAGTCGTGCCTCCTCCCGTGCTGCGCTCCTGCTCCAGCGCCCGACCCCACACCGCTGGACCCCCTGAGGTCAGCCGCACGGGCTTCCTGGACACGCTGAACGACACCCTCGGCTTCACGCCGAAGGTCCGGAGGGAGGAGGGTTTACTTCCAAAGGTACACATTGTTCATGTCTAATGCTTCGAGAGTTCTCTGATCTTCTGGGGGACCAAGGTCCTTTCAAATTTGATTGTTCTATCCTGGGCCTCTTCCTGGCCACTGGGGAGCCAGGAACAATTAGAAACGAGCACAATTAGAAGTGAACACGATCAGAAAGGAACGACGTGCAGTGCTGCGGTAGCCCATCGGAGTGTTCAGTTCGAAACAAGTTCCGGCGGAGAGTGGGACGACTGCCTTCCCAGCACTCTGGCACGGGCTGGTCGCAGCATTAGCGAAGCAGCAGTCTTCTTTGCATCGTGATCGTCGGCGTCACGCCGTTGCCCATCCGAGCGGGTGCTGCTGAGTTGCCTCTGCGGGGGACCTCGCCTGTCGTACAGGTGTCAGGAGGGAAAGAAACACACAGACACAATTAATCGTCGACTCCCAGGAAAATATGGGAAAATATGGGAAGTGGGGGGGAAGACGAAAACCTAGAAAATATGGGAAAATATGGGGAATATTTTTATTTGTGTGTATTTATTTGTGTGTCCTGGGGCCCCTTCAAGGTGGCGGTATTTCCTGGTATCCGGCCAGCGTGGGTCCCACGCGCTGGTGATGTGAGCTCGGCGTGGACTCGCCGGAGATGTGGCTCGGATTCGACGGGCGAGCCGATGCGGACTCGACGCGCGTCGCGGCGCGAGGGAGCAGACGAGGGCACCCCGGAGATGCAGCAGAAGGGTGGACGAGGAGCGCTCTCCCGGTGGTTTTTCCCAAGCGTCCTGTGGTGTCGGGCCCTCGCTCTGAAGAGACAGTGCCCCGCGTCTCCTCTCTCCTCCTTCCTCCTACTCTCCTTCCTCCGGGCAAGAGGTCATCGACACTGTCCCTGGATCAGCTCTGAGGCGTCGCGTCCCTCACCGTGTCCTTCGTCATGATGGACACGGCGAGCAGCGCGGCGCATGAAGGTTTCGTGTGCCCCGTGCCGCAGTTGGGCACCCCCTCGGCTCCTGGTGTGCATCGTCCTGACTCCGATGCCTGCCGCCCTCGTGCGGGGCGCGGAGCCGAGCACCGTCCGGCTGAGGGCGGTATTCTTTTTTCCGCCGTCGTCCTTGGGCAGTTGTCAGGAGGGAAAAAATCACACAGACACAATTAATCGTCGATTCCCAGGAAAATATGGGAAAATATGGGAATTGGGGGGGAAGACAAAAACCCAGAAAATATGGGAAAATATGGGGACTATTTTTATTTGTGTGTATTTATTTGTGTGTCCTAATTTCCCTTTAAGTTGGTGCCGATGTTTGGGCTGCCGGCGCTCTGGCGGCCGCGCCCCGCCCGCAGCTCGAGCGTGCTCTGCGATTTTTGGACCTGCTCGTCACCTTCCCGGGTCCCCGTCCTGGTCCCGCTGCTGCTGCTGGAGGTTCCCGCAGTCGAGACCCTCTTGGGCATGCATGTCTGCGGCGCTATCGGTGGCGATGGTTTTTTGCAACGTAGGTGCATTGTGTGGGTTCGATGTGCGGCTTGCTGTTGGCTCCCGCGGTGGCATTCTCCCTTGGGCATGAAGGAGGAGCAAGAGCAAGGGCACGGCATCTGTGCCTTGATGCCCTGAGCTGGCATCTGCTGGGCTTCCCATGTTCTGCCGTTTCTCGAAGCTGCTCCTTTGGAAGCCAACGTCCCCCCTCTCCCCCCTCCTAGCTATCGCCCCCCCCCCCTCCCGCTGCGCCGGCGCCATCTCAAGATCGGCGCTGTCCCCTTTTCCTTCAGAACAGCGCTCTCGCCCCGGCGCCGGGCCACATGTCTCGATCCGAGTGATTTTGGCGTCGTCGTCGCCCCCCTCCTTCCCCTTCCCCCGCCTCTCCCTTCCCTGCCCCTGCTGCCGTTGTTCATCCGCGTCCTCCCCCTTCCTCTTCATCCTCCTCTCCCTCCTGCCCACCCTCTCGCTCATCCGCCACCTCCTCCTCCAAGGTACGCGGCTCCCCTTCATCATCTTCAGCATGGCGCTATGGTGTCCGAGTGGGGGTTCCAGGTTCTCTCTGATGCCCGTCGGCGGATGGAGGAAGACTCGGCGCAGCGGGCAGGGGATGGGCGGGAAGGGGCAGGGCCTCGGATGTGGCGCGAGCGCACCTGGCCTGCCCTGCCCCCCCTGTCCCCAGCCTCCCCCCCCCCTCTCCTTTCACACCTTCCCCCCCGGGTCCCTCCCCTCCCGCCCCTGCCCTCGCCTTCCCCCCGCCTCCTCCGCCCCAGGCCCAAGGGGGGGGGGGCACGACGCCGAACCCCCCCTGCCCTGCCATGCGGTGGGGCCCGTCCAGGAGGTATCGAGTGGAGCCCGCCCGCGGCGGCGAGAGGCCCCCCCTGAGGCCCCGGAGCGGGGGGCGCGACCCTCGAGACCCCTCGACCCTCGAGCCTCGGGGGGGCCCCCCCTGTCGGCCCGGGCCGCGACCCGTCGCCCGCGGCCCCCGCCCCCGCGCCCCCCCGCGCCCCCCCGCGCTGCTTCGGGCAGTGCCGGCGGGGGTCGCAAGGGGGGGGAGGGTCACCACCTCCTCCTGGCAGGCGAGGGCGGGGAGGGCGCATCGAGGATGGAGGAGGTGTCTGGGGCACTTCTTGGCGCCTCTGGGGGTCCACGTGGGGTTTCCCTGGGGTGTCCAGGGACGCCCGTTTCCTCGGGGAGGCGGCAGCCTTCCTGCGCAGTGGTGGCTTTCCTTGGCGCAGCCTATGGCGCAGCCTATGCCGCAGCGCATTGATTGCGCAACCTTTGGCGCAACCCGCGGACGGCGCAACCGACAAATGATGCAACCTGAGGATCAGAGGAGGAAAAGGTACCCATACCTCTACCCTCCGCCCGTTTTCTCATTGCTGGGCCTCCTGGGAGGCCCTCATCGTAACCGCTGGATTCACCTCGAAATTCTGGTCAGAACGCACCCTGGGAGAGGTCCTGAGAGTAGCGGTATCGGTACCTTTGGGTTTCCCCAGAGAAGCGATTCGTGGATCGCGCAACCCATGTCGCGCCGCTTGGAGGGCACCTGCAAGGCATTTCGGGCTTGTGCTCGCCCGACTTTTGCTCGCAGTTTGTGGCCGGTGGTGGGATCCAAGCAGCAAGCTGTCCTGTGATTGGCCCTCATGGAAGGACAGGTCCCCCCCGCCCCCCCGCGCCCCTCGTAGATCTCCGCCTTGAAGTGTCGCAGCAATCGCAAAACAGTTTTGGCTGAGCGATCCACAGCCACAGTTCGGAGCAGACAGTTCGATAGATCCACCATCGAGCCGCCGATCGAATCGCAGTCTATGTACTGCAAGAGTTTGTTTCACGGGTAGTGTTAAGTCGGGCTTGTCCCTCTACAGGAGGAATATTCAAATAGTAAAAAAAAAGTCTGGGGACTATTTTTTCACCATTTGGGATCGGAGTATTTTTGGGTATTTGTTGTTTTTCGTTTGAAGCTCTCCCTGTAGGGGGACACGCCCGACTGAAGGGTAGTGCGATGGTCTGAGGTGGGCCTTTACGTCTCTCCCCGGAGAGAAAAAAAAAGGTGGATTTCAACGCCGGCGTGGTGGCGGCGGGGGAGGCCCCGACGCAGCGCCCCTGCCAGCTCCGTGCCGTCGCTTGTCGTCGAAGTTGCCGCCGTGGCCGTCGTCGTCTAGCTCGTCGCCGTCGTCGTCGAGGTCGTCGTCGAGGTCGTCGATGCATGACGGCGAGCCCCGGCCTCGCCTCCCACATCTCACTCAGGAGCGCCACGGCCCGCTGCCACTGCCCACCCGTCTCGCACGCACCGAGCCCAGCGTGGTAGATCAGGTAGCGCGTGCCCGTGGTGTGATCGCCGCCATCGACGTTTGAGGGGCCAGCGCTTGCAAGGCGTGCCTGCGACACAGAATCAGGCGATCGCAAACATGGATTGAGGGGGCGTGGATTAGCGACGGGTCCCGTTTCCACGGGAAATCGCGGATTTCCGCCGCCGAGCGAAGCGGCACCGGCCGCATCTTGGGGACGGCACCTCCCCCGATCCACGGATATGGCGACCGCGCGCCAAATCCGTGGATCGCTAATCCAGGTTTGCGCGCCCCAACAGTTCTTCTGGGCAGGCAGAAGTCGGGCGAGCTCCTGGGAGGCGCCCACGGGCCCCCAGGTGCACCCCAAGAGGGCCCCAAGAGGAAGTGGCGTCACTCCACTTGCTTTTGGGCTCTCTCGGAATGCACTTCAAGCCGTCTTCGAAGCCTCCTTGTGGTCTCGTGGGGCCCGCTCCTGCCCACCCTGCGGCGTTAGGCAGGACTGAGGCGGCCTCCGGGAGCGCTCGGAGAGCGCCTCGAGTGCCCCACGTGGGCCGGAGAGAATGCAGAAGCAAGCGGCGTCATTCCATTTGCTCTTAGGCTCTCTTGGAATCCACTTGAAGCCGCTCCGAAAGCCCTTCTGGGGCCTCTTGCGCCCCGGAGCGCTCCGAGAGGGCCCCAAGGGGGCCCGGAGAGACTCCAAGAGCAAGCGGAGTGACCCCACGTGCTCGTGGGCCATCCTGGAGTCCTCTCGGAGCTCTCTGGGGGTCTCCCCTGTGCGACCCGCTCCTTGTATGACTGCAACCATGCACATTCGATCCAGTTTACTCATCATGCATGTTTGTCGTCTTCGTTCTTCTGCATCTTCCCGTTCCTTCTTCTTCTCCCAAGGTCTTTTTGTAACGCCTTTACACCAGGATTCCTTCTGTGGCGGCCTTACACATGAATTTTACTTGTGGCGGATCTTCAACGGCTTCCACTATGAGAATCCTTTCGTAGCAGTCTGTACAAAAGGATTCCTGTTGTGGCGGCCTTACAATAGGGTTTTAATTGCGGGGGATCTGCAGTGGCGGCACCGTGGGCCAAGGAAAGCTAGAGAGGAAAACAAGAAAAACAATAACAACAGGAAAAGGTCTGTGTTTTCACAGGGGAAAGCAGGACAAAGCTAGGACAACCTGTGACTGTCGCTAGTTGTAGGGTGCAGATGACCGAACACTTAAAATCCTTTTGAAGCGGCCTTCACAAAAGGATGCCTTGTGTGGCGACCTTACAAGCCACCACAATTATGATTCTTTTTTCAAGCAGCCTGTACAAAGGGATTTCTTGTGGCGGCCTTACAAGAAGGCTTTAAGTGTGGGGAATCTGCAGTGGCGGCACCGTGGGCCTAGGAAAGCTAAAGAGGAAAACAGGAACAACAATAACAACAGGAACAGGTCTGTGTTTTCACAGGGAAACCAGGACAAAGCTAGGACAACCTGTGACTGTCGCTATTTGTAGGGTGCAGATGACCGAACACTTAAAATCCTTTCGAAGCGGCCTTCACAAAAGGATGCCTTGTGTGGCGACCTTACAAGCCACCACAATTATAATCCTTTTTTTTTGCAGCCTGTACAAAGGGATTTCTTGTGTGTTGGCCTTACAAGAAGGTTTTAAGTGTGGGGAGTCTGCAGTGGCGGCACCGATGGCCTAGGAAAGCTAAAGAGGAAAACAGGAAAAGCAGGAAAGAGATAAGACACATATGCTTCCACAGGGGGAAACAGGAAACAGCTAGGAACACCTGTGGCAGTTGCTATTTTTGAGGTGAAGATGATCTGCACGTGCAGTCTTTTTGTAAGGCCGCTTATTGTAGATCATATGCACTTTAAATAATGGCAGTTTCAAGTTTTCCTAATTTCATCGTGTTTTCGACTGTGAAAACGCAGACTTTTCATGTTTGTCATGTTTTTCTTGTATTCCTCTCTAGCTTTCCTGGGTCCACGGTGCCGCCACTGCATATCCCCCACAATTAAAGCTGTATTTTAAGGCAGCCACAAAAGGACTCTCTTTGTACAGGCTGCTACAACAAGGATTCTAGTTGTGAGTGCCTTTGCAGATCCATCACAATTAGTCCATTTGTAAGGTCGCCCCAGCAGGAATCCTTGTGTACATGCGTTACACAAAGGCCTTGGGAGAAGAAGAAGGGCCAGGAAGATGAAGAAGAACGAAGACGACAAACATGCATGATGAGTAAACTGGTGATCCGTAGCGTTCCAATCGCCAGGAAACCTAAAAACATTTGGTTGTAGTCGCACGAGCGGCGGGTCCTACGGGTCTTCCCCTGGGGCCTCTGAGACCCTCTGGGACTTCTCTTGGGAGCCTCCGGGACCGTCTTGGGACCGTCTTGGAAATGTCTTGGGTCTTTCCTGGGCAATCTTGGGGCGCTCTGGGGAGCCTCTGGGGCCGCCCTGGCACGATCTGAGAGGCCCCTGAGGGCGTCTCGGGCGGCTGAAGCCGAACAAGCTGAGATCACGAAACAACATAACAAAAACAATCGAACATCAATGAATTCGGCCTCCGGAAGCGCTCCCTGGGAGTCCATCGGGGCGGTCCTGGGGCGTCATGGGCGCCTCCTGGGCTGTCTGGGGCCATGTTCGGCAGTCTTGCGCCGTCTCCTGCGCCCATCGGGGCTTCTCCGAAGGCTATCGAGGCCGCTCCGAGGGCCCGCCTGGAGCGGCCCGGGCTCCAGGGGGCCCCCCTGGACTGAACCAGAGGGACGGGTTCGCTGCCACCGCTCGCCCTTCTCGCACGCGCTGTCCGCGGTATTGTAGGAGAGAAGACTGGTCCTCATGAAGAGCCCAAGACAGCCCCAAGAATTGCCGCCCGCCGCTCCCACCGCCCTCAGAACTCGTCCGTGCAACCCTTCGCGGTGGGGGTCTTGACTCCGCCTTCGCCTCCTCCGTGTGCTCGGCCTGTGGCGCCGCCTCCTCCTCCTCCTCCTCCTCCTCCTCCTTTTCCTCCTCCTCCTCCTCCTCCTCCTCCTCGTTGCCTTGTCCCACAACTAACTTCTCCCTGTCCACCCCGAGTCCAGTTTTTAGGGCTGGCCGGGCGTTTCGCTTAAGACTTGCTCAACATGTATGGCCCTGAAGCTTAAACATTGACATCAGTTTCACTGATGGGGGGCGGCTGGTTTTCAAAATGTGGCTCTTGCCCTAGCGTCGCGCGTATTAGTTGCTTCCTTTTTAATGTGCAAAAGCTTCACGGACTGAGGGCGGGTCATTTTTAAACATGTGGTTCGCGCCTCATTGAGGGCGGGCCGTTTCCAACATGTGGCTCTCGTTTTAGCGCCGCGCACATTCGCTTTAAACATTTGAAAGCGTTTCACGGATGCGCATGATCAGCAACCAGAAATGGTGTTTTGCAAGGGTTCAGGATTCGGAGGGTGCAACAGTTACGCGGATTCGCTGAAGTCCCAGGAATGGCGTTCTGGTGCGATTCAAGATCGTCAAGACGCAGCAGTCAGGTTGATCCGTGGAATCCTGGGAACAATATTTTGGCATGCTTCAGGTTCTTCAAATGGTTGTATTCCAACGAGGCAGTTCCCTCAGTGGAGATGAGTCGTTGTATGGGCCTATGAAGAGGGAGCTTGGAGGGAGGGTTTATGCCAACATCGCTGATGACTCTTGGGTTCCCACTGGTCCTCCTCCTCCTCCTCTTCTTCCTCCTCCTCCTCCTCCTCCTCCTCCTCCTCGTCCTCCTCCTCTCCCTCTTCCTCCTGCTGTGCCAGCTTTGGAGCAGATGCCTCTCCACCCTGGATTGGGGGCACAGGCGGCGGGGCCATCGAGGAACAGCGCCTTGGTGGGTCCCCCCTCCCGCGCTGCTGCTGCTGCTGCTGCTGTTGCTGCTGCTGCTGCTGCTGCTGCTGCGGAGGAGGAGGAGGAGGAGGAGGAGGAGGAGGAGGAGGAGGAGGAGGAGGAGGAGGAGGAGGAGGAGGAGGAGGAGGAGGAGGTGGGCGCCGACTGGAGAGCGTCCGCAGGGTAACGGACGCCCACAGGCTGAGGCAAGTGCTGCCGCCATGGGCAGCAGCGGGCATCGGCCGAAACCACGTGAAACCCATCGTCGTCGACGCCGAGGCCATCAATTACTCAGAGTCGTCAGAACTCCCATCCGCCGCCCGATCCACCCGAGCTTCCACCCTCCCGAAATCAGCTTCCTCCGTTCGGAGGGAGAAGCGCAAAGACGGCAGGTCAGGCCCTGGGTCGGTCGAAGCGGCGCCGACTTCGGACAGAACTTTCATTTTGGTTGGATGCGAACCTTTAGCAGCTTTGGCAATCTTGCGTAGCTGCGTGTCTCGAGTCGAGGGGACAGTGGACGGCCCTCTGCAAGGAGCTTTCAAAGCATGCTCGACCCCAGGCGGCAGCACAAGGAGCCCAGCACACCTCGCACAAATAATACCTCGGCCTGTCCTCTGGGACGAATGTCCACGCTCATTCAAAGAACGAACGGCTTCGGCCCTCTCCTCGCCAGACGGGCACCAAGGGGGGGGGGGGAACGGCGGAAACATGCCAGCAGCCACAAGGGCTTGGTTTGCTTTCGCCAGAGCCTCGGCCTTCAACGGCCCAGCTCTAGCCCCGTAGGAACGGAGCCACTCTTGGCTCTTTAAGACCGTGACAGCCGTGGGCCGGCAGAACTTAGATGGGCCATTGCACAGATGATTCAACGTGCTGGTCACCCAGGCTCTTACAAAACATGCAGCGCATCTCACTTCACTCGTGGCTTCATTCTGCACAAGGGAGTGTCCGTGCAAGGTGAGCCGCGGCAGCTG